CGCCCATCAAGGAGCAGATCGACTGCTCTGTATATACCGGTGAGACACTTCCCCTTTTTGCCTCTTTCGTCCCTTTAAGTCTCCCTCGCAAGCTGCCTTGTTGCTCTCTCTGTCTGATCCATTCGATGACTGCATCTGTCTCTCTCTTCTTTCCTTGCTGACTTGTCTTCTTGTCTGGCTCTGTTTCTGTGTCTTTCTTTCTCTGGCTCTATCTTTTTTTCTGGGTCTTTTCTCTCTTTCTCTGTCTCTGTCTTTATCTCTCGCTCTCTCTCTCTCCTCTCCTCTCCTCTCCTCTCCTCTCCTCTTCCTCTCCTCTCCTCTCCTCTCCTCCCTCTCCTCTCCTCTCTCTCTCTCTCTCTCTCTCTCTCTCTCTCCTCTCTCTCTCCCTCTGCCTCTCCCTCTCCCTCTCCCTCTCCCTCTCCCCTCCCTCCCCTCCCTCCCCTCCTCCCTCCCTCCCTCCCACCCTCCCCTTCCCCCTCTCCCCTCCCCCCCCCCCCTCTCTTCTCTCTCTCTCTCTCTCTCTCTCTCTCTCTCTCTCTCTCTCTCTCTCTCGTCTCTCTCTCTCCTCTCTCTCTCTCTTCTCTCTCTCTCTCCTCTCTCTCCTCCTCTCTCTCTCCCTCTCTCTCCCTCTCTCTCCCCTCTCTCTCCCCTCTCTCTCCCCTCCCTCTCCCTCCCTCCCTCCTCGTCGGCATCAGTTACTCTCTGTGGACCTACTATTCTTGGTTTCCTCGACACGTTTCTCCCTCCCCCCCCTCCCCTCCTTCATCGTCTATCTCTCCTCGTTAATAGATCTTTGTCTCTCCCTTACGCACTCTAATCGTGTCTTCTTCTCTTGGTGTCTTTTTCGTCTGTCTGGCTAGCTAGTCTCCCCCACCCTAGCATTATCTTCTAGTCTTTACATCGGCTGTCACCTTCTGCTAGTTCCCACTTTTACTCTCTCTTGCTAGTCTCTCTTTTATTAGTATCCTTTAGTGTTTCCTACCTGTCGGTGAACTAATAGTCTGTCTCGCTACCTAGTTTTAGTTTTATTCTTCCTCTGCTAGTATTAATAGACATATGCTAATACTAGCTATTGATATTCTTGATTGGTATTTGCCTTTTTTTAGTAGAACTAATATCGCCACTTCTGAATACTTTCATTGTTTATTCATTTTTTGGTGTCAATCCAATTGTTAGATGGTTTCACTGATTAACTATATACAGCTTTTAGTCATGGTAAATTCTTCTACATCGTCGTCATAATTTAGGATGTTGTTGCATGATATATCTATGTATTTTTCAAACAAATGCTCACACTATGTCATGTATGTTTCCCACAATGACACAGTCAGGCATGGAATGACCATTTTATCACCTGTTGTGACCTCGGTTGATTACAGGTCATCTAATGCTGATTCGATCTTCTTCTCAGACCTCTAGGAGCCAGACGGGTGACCTGTGGAAGGTAAACAGTGGCTCACCCTTTCGTTCTATCACCCACCCCTCATCCGACACAGTTACTTTAGAGTTTGATGCTACTTGTCAACGCCGGTAGCTCCTCCCCCCCACCCCCTCTCGTTTATTAACTCTACCCAAGCCTCTCCGATTGAATCTAATCTAGTATTATATAATTTTTTGTTACTAGCTAGTGTGCGATGCAGTTTTCTTTCGTTATTTGCTGTGATTAACCAGGTGCTTCAACTCCATAACTCAAATCTCCGCTCATTCACTTCTCACGTACTCGTCTCTACAGTGCCCACTTCAGTCTTTCTATCTCGCTTCAGTAAAAAAATAATATATTGTTAAATATCACCAGTGAGGACGTACGTATGGCTCTATTGGCTTCTCTCATCCCTATTGCCTCATTGCCTTCTCACTATTACGCTTCTATGATGATCACGTTGGCCTTTTCACAATTAACTTCGCCTTAAAGCAAAATGCTGATTCAGTCTTTTCTTTTTTTTTCTTAGGTCTTCCCGTTTTCTTTTGCTGTGTGCCGTCGTTAGTTTCGTTTTCTGTTTTCATTCGCTGGCTTGTCATTAGTCAGGCAGATCGTTAAGTGTTTGTGTCGCCAGAGTGTGTCTGTTTATCGTTATTTTTATGTTATTAGTCAATCGTAGGCATTGTGTGCTTGAGTCCTTGATAGCTATTTTGCTTTGACTACCTTTTTTTTCCACACCGCAGAATAGCGTTGTTATACATCACACACACAGCCTTATACATATTATGTGTGCTTGTGGCTGTCCTCGTGTGTGTGTGAATAACCGTGCTCTGTGTGTCGTGTAGCCTGCTATGTGTGTTGATGGCTGTGTGGTAGCGTGAGATTGGGTGTGTGTCCTGTGTGCGGGTAGTGCATGAGAGTAAGAGGAGCATCCGAGAGAGCCGCATGCAAGGAAACGAGACTAGTGAGAGCCAGGATGAAACTGACGACGGAAAGAGAGATGAGTTGAGACGACGAGAGAGAGAGATGAGAGAAGAGCTGAAAGAGAGAAGGGAGAGAGATGAATGGTAATTGTGCATG